CTCACTAAGATAAGCTATCTTAGTTTTTACACAGGTATATAGAAAATAGCTGATTTTCTTGAGATATGTATTGCACGTTTTTCTTTTTCGCTTCTCTGTTCTATCTTCTTCTTCTTGGTTTTGATACTTATATATTTTTTTATAAATATGCCCGTTGTTTGAATTTTTATTTGTTCGTTGGAGCGTAGCTTTTTGTCGTTGCAAATGGAGGCTTCGTTCATGTTCATGCAGATCTTCTCATTTAATGCATTTGATCTTGCATTAAATGTTTGCTTGTATTCATGGAGTCCTTCTATGTAGTTGATTTATTTGCTTTTTCAATCATGATCTAGGTATATTTGTACTTTCTTCATCAGTTTAGCTACTGCGGAGCTTTCTTTTTCTGAAAAGTAGGTGTCATTTTTCTGACGCGCTCAACTTTGACTTGTGAATGCATATTTGCCCATTTTTTATTCACGTTGATGTCCTCTTGTGTTTCTTGTATAATTCCTTTCAATGTGATTAGTGGACTTCAGACGTGCTTCAATATTCTTAACATCGTCTGTTACAAGATACTACGTCTGATCTTGACTATCTTTTTCGTCTGAGTATGGAAGTGATAACTTCGTCTTCTAGTTTATATTGGTTCTTTCTGATGGTCACTTCATGTCGATGTCTTGGCCAACTTTGCGTCTAATGCCTCAGGCTTCTGTTGATAGACTTTGTATCCTGATTTTAGCCTGTATCAACCTTAGTCTTAGTGTTGGCCTTTCTATTGTCTGATATTTTGTAAAGCCAGATTACGTTTGAACATATTCCATTGTTTGGGCTTTTCGTTATCTGACTGAAACATTAATGCACATGTTAGTAATAACAATATGTATTATATTTGTCATATTCAAAACATTGGTGGGATTGCGAGTCCACTTGTATTAAGACTTATGCCCACATGATTTTTTCTTATATATATTTTTTAATTTGTCAGTTCATATATTTGCTTTGATGATGCTGGTTTTCCTTTAGTTTCCACTAGCCAGTGACGAGACAGTGTTGGAAGAAGGTGATATATTGAAAATGTAAGATTTTTGAGCATGGTTTTTTTTTTCTCAGTAGGAATTTTGTTATGAGTGATAGGGGAATGAAATTTGTGTTTTTCGCTATTACTGGGAAGTTGATGGTAGTTTCTTTGGTTGTTTGTAGTGATTTGGCTTGTCATATAGATGGTTTCATCGCGGCTGTGGCTCACACTCATGTTCTTCAGGAAGGTCCTGTCACAAGAAGGGCAGCTGATGTTATTGCTACTGCAAATGCTGCTGCTGAGGTGGCCTTGAGGCTTGTTAGGCCGGGAAAAAGGGTAATCAATTTTAAGAATTTTTTCCCCTGTATTTGAATTTTTGTATGATTTGATTTGGAATTTTCAACATGTTGCCTCTATTAATTGTATGTTTCGTAGATAGGTATAAGGTCATCACTATATAAGCAATCTAGCTTAGTAAAATTAGGTTGCTTCATGTGTATTGTTTGAAGGGGTTTCTTTGCCTAAATGTGTGCCTTGTGGATTTTGATCTCTAAATGATGAAAAGTATCATGGCTATGGATATACTCCAATGAAACTTTATTGTCATAGTTACACTGATAGAGGTCATTCATTATTTTTCATGTGTTGTCTTGCCGATTAAGCACATCATTAATCTTGGGAACTCCTCTTGATGTCTGTATTGTTCTTTTATCTTCATTTTAAATGATATCATGCATTTTCATAAAAAAGACTTGATATTTTTGTTTTGATTGAAATTGTTTCAATAATAGGCTCTGGTAATCGATTACAATAAATGGGTAATCGATTACCAGAGAACCTTTTAATAAGTAAATTTCGAACATATGATTTTCATTGTCTGGTAATCGATTACATGTATAGGTAATCGATTACCAGACTCTTAAAAACAAATGGTTCCCTCAAATTTAGTCATCAACAGTTAGTGAGGGATTCATCCCAGTTAGTGACGGATAAAATCCGTCGCAAATTGTGACGGATTTAATCCCTCACAATTTGTGAGGGATTTAATCCCTCACAAACTGCGAGGGATTAAATCCCTCGCAAATTGTGACGGATTCTACTTAATTAAAGTCATCACAGTTTGTGACGGATTTAATCCCTCACAAATTGCGAGGGATTTAATCCCTCACAAATTGCGACGGATTTTTATTAATTTCTAAACATTTATTGTTACAAATTTGTGACGGAAATTATATTGTTTGTGACGCCTTAATTCCGTCACTAATTGTGACGGAGCAAATAATCCGTCACTAAATATTTTGTGACGCCAAATTTTGTGACGGAATCATTTCCGTCACAAATTCCGTCACTAACTTATTTGTGACGGATTTTTTCCCTCTCTAATTTTAATTTTTCTAGTAGTGCTTGAAAATTGTTTTGAAGAGTTGTTTGTTGATTTATGTAGCTGAAAGTTGTTTGTATCCAGGGAAAGCGTGGTTGTGTGGTCTAATTTGGTGCAGAGTGAATGTTAAGTTGGGGTTTTTGGTGTGGTAAGCAACATGATGAAAAGCTTGATGATTTGGATGAATTTTAAGTTGCAAGTTTGATATGGCACTGAAAATGAGTAGTGTATAGTAGGTATGAGTGTATTCTGGTCTTGCATGTTGGTTTTACTAGATTTGAAGTGAATGGAGAGGTAGATTCGTGTTCTACTTTGTTATGGAAAGCTCATCATGTTGGGTGTGATTAATTTCAACACGAGGCCCTCTATCTTGTCATGCTAGGCATAAGATTAGTAGTGTCAAACATGAGGAGAAAGACTTATCTCAGGTTGGAGTGACACCAAGTGTGAGAGTAGTAAGAAGTCTCTGACTTGATGACAACAGGCCCTGGGTTGAGTGGCACCGAGCATGGCCAAGCCAAATTATCTACCTAGACGACACCAAGTACTAGTATGGCGATGTTGAGCGTGAGTCAAACAAAGACTCCTTGTTTGAAATAAGGTCGAGCACGAGACTTTTCCACATCAAGCATGAGGTCCTAGGGGCCTCTACCTAATCTATGTCAGGTGCGAGTTGTGCGATGTTAGGCATGGACAAGGCAGAGGGTTCCTTACCTCGATTATGTCGAGAGTCGAGAGTGTGGCATTAGGCACTAGTTATTTATTAAAGTTATTGTTGTGTGTAGCATGAGCTAAGCGAAATGAGTAGATTTGAGTAGTCTAATGTAGGTTTTAAGTTGCTAAACATTGATTATTATATATTTGTTGATATGTGATGGTAATTAGAGATGATTGATAGTTGAGAATTAAAAGTGAGTTGAGTTATGTGTTGTGTGTTGCATGTTGTAAGTTGGTGGTATAGATGTATTGAATATGCTTTGAGCATGTATGTTGTGTTGCTGAGATGATGAATGTTGAGAATGCTTTAAGAATTTAGGCATGGTGTAGAAAAATGCATTGATCAATTTAGTACTAAAGAAAAGGTTATTTTAAAAGTTACATATCCTATTATGTGGATATTGTGTTGTGGTGTTCTAAAGGCCCAAATTGTTGAAAATTCTTCTTGGAAAGTTGATCCTTGAAGATGACTATTAAGTCTCTTTTAAGACCTTAGTTAGTACCGTATGTGAACAAGGTTGAGGCATACATGTATAAAGCAACCACAGTATAGGAACAAGGTTGAGCTATATTGATTACAAGTGACCAATTGATCAGTAAAGTACAAAGTCAGAAACTTAGTTCCTGATTGAGTATTAGAAGGGAATGGTATTTAAAGGGTAGTAGGTGGGTTGATCCCAAAAGAGACTTAGTTAAGCTAGCTAATGTTGTGGTAGGTTCATACCCAAGTTGTCCTACCCTAATAGTAGTATTGTTAAAACCCAAAATATTCCAATCTTGCCCACAGATGGTTTGGACCTCAGTTTGAAAATTTGATTGATTAGGGAATGCCTGAAAACTAGACTAATCCCTAATCAATGGTTTTAGAAAAGAGTTTGAAGGAGTCACCACCGATATTTTACACAAAACATTGAGAAAAGAGGAAAATGTTTTCGCAAATCAATTATATATGGCCTTCATAGCCAAAATTGAGTTCAGGGTCAATTATGTGTAGAGAAGGTATTAGACACCCTACAACGCCCTCTATTGGTACCTTATGATGAAATTAACATAATAGTAAATAAAAGTTCAAATATTTAGTCCCCTTTATTAATGGTTATTTACATGCTTAATTATAAATTTATACGACTAAACCTAAAAAGTCTATATGGTTGCTTTTATTTATAGCAATGTTTATGATAGAAAAAGTAGAGGATATAGAAAGAATTTAATGAGAATACCTCTTGAATGAGCTTTTATAAAGTATGCTTCCAATATAGTGGTCTTGAGATGCTTTTTGGTTGCCTTACACACTACAATTCACCTCACAAATCTTAAGAAATACAAAGAGGGAGAGAAAGAGAATATTTTTAGCTTTATCACACTCTAGCAGGCAATTTTTGCTCTATTTCTCGTTCCCAAGCACTGTGCATGAGGCTTGTATTTATAGACGTCTAGCCTAATTGGAACAATCCATTCTGGTTATCAGAATGGGCCGTCTAGATGAGTTTTTTATGAGAAAATTTTGAATCTAGAACGACACGTTCTGAAATTAAACAACTCATTTCAGATTTGAAATTAACTTGTAACAACCTGGATCCAAACAGCCCGTTCTGGATTGGGAATTGCTCGTTTTGACCTAGGGTTTCTAGGCCATTTTAGAAGCTTGGGGTAGCTCGTTCCAAATTGGGAACGAATTGTTCTAGGCTCCTAATTTAACCTTTTTTAGGCCTTTGGCCTTCTGATGTCGTCCTAGTCCATTCTGATGTTAATGGGCCTTTCTAATGTCATGTTGGTTTATTCTAACATTGCATTCAGGTCTTCTATAGCTCCTTTGTCTTGTACTAAAGACCCATTTCCTTGTTTGTATGTCCTGGATGAAATCAGGTGGCTACAAGTACTAGAGTTTCTAATTAAAGTGACGACATACAAGAAATCATGTTTTGTTATGAATTGATATCAAAATTTGTTGTTGATCTAGAAAGCCAAAAAAGATCACCCTATGTTGATGGTTCAATAGGATCAAGTTTCTTAAATTACAGACTTAGGTTGTAAGAGATCTCCTGGTTGAAATATGTGATGATGCGTTGTTGTATTATATATATATATATATATATATATAATTTAGTTTACCACAACACAAAATCATCTCAAAAACTAAATTATATATATATATAGGTTGTATTACACTACTAGAATTTCTCTTATTACATGCAACTTTTCCAGCGAATTTTTCATAAAAATTTGCAGGCAACGTTGTTCCTACAAATTTTTCTGCGAAGTTTTATCTGCAGGTAATACCTTCGTGAATAATATGTTTTTTTGAATTTTAAAATTTGCAATAAATTTTCTTGCTAAATTTCTTGCGAAAAAAATTCGCAGGAAAGTTTCCTACAAAAAAAAATTCGCAGGAAAGTTTCCTGCGAATTTTTTCTCAAGAAATTCTGCAAGAATATTTTTTACGAAAAAAGTAAAGAAATTACTATAAATTCTATCAATAATTCTTCAACTTTCAAATACTCATAATGAATTCATCCGAAGCATTTGTTTCCACGCCTCCAACATGAGATGCATAATCTTTTAAATTCTAAGATTGTAGATTATAATAAGTCTAACACTCAACCATAAAAATCAACTTGTAAGGTAAGTGTTGTCCCAACTTATATACTCTTTAACTATTTTATTTTCAATCGATGTGGGACTTGAAGTTTTTTTTTTAAAATATTAAACTTATAAATTTAAATATTTTTTTTTTATTTTTCCTACGGATTAAAATTGGCAAGAAAATCCGCAGGAAAAGTTACCTGCAAAAGTTTTCTACCATTTAGTAAACATTACTTACGAATTTATTTTTGTAAGAAACAAAATAAAATTCTTACAATATTTTCTGCTAATTTTTACCATGGAAAAAAATTTCTATGATCATTAAAATTGTAGCAAAATTTGCAAAAATTTCTTGTAGATTATTTTTTATAAAAAAAAATTGTAAGAAATATCTGTAAATTATTTTTCGTTAAAAAATTCTGCAAATATTTTTTTGCAGGAAAATTCGCAAAAAATTTCTACGAATATTTTTTTGTAGGAAAATTCGTAGGAAAATGACATTTTTCTAGTAGTGTTACGAAGATAAATGTTGATAGTGTCAAAAGGTGTAGTGAAGATGTGATGATGTATTAATGTTATTAATACTTTGTGTTGTATATATGTTGTTTCTTTAAACTCTAGCTTACCCTTGCATGTTTCTATGTGGATGAGCT